GAATTTCAAGGTCCCACTCTCTAAATGATTATTCTTTATTTTTCAAGAAATCAGCAGACAAAGTCACAATCATAGCTGTCTTTGTGGACGACATACTAATTACAGGAAATGATTTACTGGAGCAAAGTGATGTAAAAGCATTTCTCAACTCTGAGTTTCGCATCAAAGATCTGGGACTGGCCAATTTTTTCCTTGGAATGGAAATGTTGCGCGAAGCTGATGGATTAGTTTTGACACAGAAGAGGTTTACCTCAGATTTGTTAGCTGAATATGGTTGTTTAGGAATGAAGTCAGCTTCATCACCAGTTGACCCTTCACACAAACTCAAAGCAGATGAAGGAGCTATTTTGAATGATTCGACTTATTATCGAAAACTCCTAGGAAAATTGAATTTCCTAACTCACACCAGACCAGATCTCTCATTTTCAGTTCAACATCTTAGCCAGTATATGCAAGCACCTCGTCAACCCCATCTTGATGTTTTTCATTGCTTGCGTTACCTTTTGAGTGAACCCAATTTAGGACTTTTCATGAATTCAGGATCTTCTCTTCTGATAGTTGCATTTTGTGACTCCAACTGGGCATCTTGCCTAGAATCTCGTCGTTCTATCAGCGGGTATTATGTCAGTTTTGGTGGTTCCTCGATTTCATGGAAGTCGAAGAAACAATCATTGTTTTCCCTTTCTTCTGCTGAGGCAGAGTATAGGTCTATGAGGACAGTCATTGCTGAAATCACTTGGTTGGTACGGTTGTTCAATGATCTTTCTGTGACTCCCACCCTACCAATTGATTTGTATGTCGCTAAAATCACTTGGTTGGTAGGGTTGTTCAATGATCTTTCTGTGACTCCCACCATACCAATTGATCTGTACTCCGACAGTCAAGGAGCAATACATATCGCTAGAAATCTGATGTTCCACGAAAGAACCAAACACGTTGACCTTGATTGTCACTTTGTCTGGCAACAGTTCCTCGCTGGAATCATCTCCCTATCATATTTACCTTCCCAATCTCAAATCACCGACCTCTTCACAAAACCTCTTTCTGGGCCATCTCATCGATCTCTTGTCAGCAAGTTGGGTCTCACTTCTCGCCCCTCCAACTTGAGTGGGGGTATTGGATTTGATTTTATTTCACATGATGGAACTCGTGGTGAAAAAGGTACTGGGAAATTCTCAACTTCAAATGTCACGTGAAATAAAGAAGTCTTCTGGAGGTTTTAAAAAAAAATAGATTTCTTTTATTTATTTTATTTTATTTTCCTTTTTATTCTCTAAGTCAGTTATAGTATTGGCCATGTTAGCCATGACCCCTTTTTATTCTCCAGTAGTTGGAACACACGTTCCTTTATTTTGGTTGTATAAATACATGTAAATCATGTTCAATAAGACATACAGAAAACATTAAACTATCTCGTTCTTTAGAGGATATATCCTCTATAACATCTCGTGTTATTTTAACGACATGATCTGTTCCAATGGATACAACAGGAAGCAGCAAAAGGAAGATTGAAAATCCTGTCACAAACAAAAAAGACAAGCAAGAGGCCACTTCCCATCACATGCATGTTCTAGAGCTGAAAACTCCCCCTCCAAAACACTATAACTAGGTATATAAACTTCTCCATAAACTATACCATTTTACCCTTTCAGAACTGCTACTTCCTACATTCAACACTTCAACTAACTGTTGTATTTTAATTTTTTTCATCAGTGAAAAGTCATGTCGCCTACATTTTACAATATGATTGGAGCCATTTTTTATCATTGCAGCAAGCATAGCCATAACAGACCACTTTCCTTTTGCCTATGTAAATAAAATGTACATACCTATGTTATAAAATTTGACTCCAACACCTAATATATAGTTTTGATATATATAGCTATGTGTCACAGTTGTTATGTACTTAATATGCAATCTTCATATATGTGTCTCACTTGAAATGTTAAGCCAGTGAGTTTGATATTGATGTGGAAATAAAGAAGGTGTCCTTGCAGAAAGCTTGATGTGAAAGAGAAAAAATAGATGTTAATGTTATAGTTGCACGTAGAGCTGTTGAAGTTGGATTTTGAAATGCATCAAAAAAAGTGACCTGGTGTCGTTATCTGCCAAAAAAGGTCAAAAGTTTAGATGTCGCCTGAGAAGGTAATTATATGGAATATTGTTGGCAACAAAGTTTGCTGGCCTTTGTACCATGGCAGAAACTGTACAAAGTGGTCAGGCAACTAATTCATTTTTGGAGAAATTCAGAAGTGAGTAAGCTTTATATTTCCTGTAAAGTAAGAACATGACATCAAATATTTGTATTTGAGATTATGATATAAACAAATAGAATTGCATGTACCGTTTCTGTACATAAGTCAAAAGTAGCTGCCAAAAAGTTTGGATAAACTATAAAAAATATTTTGGGAGAAAATGTTTGGTTAGTATGTGATAGAAATAGTAGTTGCAGAAAGGATTAGGGGCAGAAAGGTGGTAATTACCTCCAGATTGATTTTTCTGGAGTTAGTGGCTCCAATTTCTGTTTCATTTTGAGTGATGATGATTCAGCCCGTTCACTGACTTGTTCTGGTTCAACTTCTTTTTTTCGTTTGCTTCCTTCCTAGATATAATTGGTTGTCTTTAGTGCTGGAAGAGTATTTTTCCTTTTCAACGCATAACTGGATATATAGTTTTACAGCAGTTGCGTTTGAAGTACGGTAAAATGCTTTCTTGGCTCGAATAGAAAAGATCTTGTTGATAAAGCTTGTGTGGATATCTTTTATAGGTGGATAGTTGCTCTAGGAGAGCGAACAGTATAAATCATTTTGACAAGTTTATTTTTGTCGAAACCTATACCTATACCTTAGTGGAAACTCTTTCGTAAATTTGTTCTGCAGTTAGGAGTAATAATTTCTCTCCTTCTTTGTTCATGATCATCCCTGTTGTTGAGCCAAAGTTATCTTTGAGATTTACATCAAATCGACACATGTGGCATTGTATGTTTAGAATACCATTATTTGTTATTAAGAATTAGAAAAAGTTGATATTGTTGGTATAGTAATAAAATACATCGGGATGAGCATTTTTTGTTGGTTGCAGTTCATACAGTGCATTTTTATGAGGCATTGTATGTTTAGAATACCATTATTTGTTATTAGAAGAAGTTGATATTGTTGGTATAGTAATAAAATACCTCGGGATGAGCATTATTTGTTGGTTGCAGTTCATACAGTGCATTTTTATGATGGTTGGATAACAAACTTCCTATCCGCAATTGAAACATACTAAAACATAGTATCTCTTTTGGTCACTCGGAAAGGATATCTTTGCTTCAATTGAAAATGGTTGTCCCTGTGTAAGAAATAAAATGAGTGTAAGTATTTGTAGTAAGTTTTAACATTAAATAATGAATGAGTTTTTCATTAACATCTTCTTGGGATTCAATGTTTGCAATTGGAGTGACTTGTTCATCTAATGGAACGGAGAAGACACATCCAGATTTTGATGTGCTCCTCAAAATAAATGAAGTGTTCCTTTGTTCAGTGTGACCCTACATATAATCCCAAAAAAGGTTGATTGCTGATAATATTAAAATTATATATTAAAAAAAAAGACAGTGAGAATATATTAAGGAGCACTGTAAGACCATGCGTGTAGCTGCTGACATTGTGGATAAGGTGGACCAATTAGAATGGTTGTGTTGAATTTGGTCATCAATGATACACTTGTGTTAATTAATTAGATATTAAGAAGTTTGAACTCGGAGAGAAATTTTTAATATGCAAAATCATTCAAAGCTAGTATATTAAGAGAAATCAATCATTACTGAATTTAATCAATTATTATTGCATCCAAACATGTATTGGCAGTACCACAGTAAGCAAAATCAGTATCAAAAATAAAGAGTAAATATGGCAAAATCTAGATGTGCTAGCATTCTTTAAAACTTAACTTTAATTTAGTTGATTCATTAAATTTGGAAAACCTGTCCCACTCAGTAGTGTGACTAGTGTCCAATGTTACTTTTACTTTGAGGCATGTCTGCATTCATTTGTTGTCTTATATCTGTAAGACATTCCTTCATTGTTGTACCAATTGGCATTACATTTGCAGAATTAGCTGTATCATTTTCTATACAATTGCTGGATTATTTTGCATTTTACTTTGTTTCGCATATTTTGCCCTTACTAATTTGTCATCATATCATACATCTTAATTAATAGCATGTCAGCCAAACGAAGAGTAAATTTTAGTCACATATTAGACACTATCTCATTAGCATTTTGACATGACTCGGGGATAAAGTCTATGTACATTTCCCAACATGGTAGCGATCCAACTAAAGAATTTGATTTCAATGGGGATAGCTATGATCTAGTAGTTGCGGTGAATGTAACTCCATAAAACAAACATCAAAATTAAATGAAGCTACTCTGTCCTTCTTTTAGCTTCTTCAACCATTTCGCCTTAATTTATCTCCTATGAAGTATGATATTTCTATTTAGTGATTTATTGTCAGTATAAGGATCGTTAACTACTGAAATTTCATCTCATATCTGTTTTACCTGTGTATGTATAAGCATTAACCCTTACCTTTATATTGTTGCATGTAAACCTTGATTTGGGTCTGCCCAACTCCATTTGCCTCCCTTGTTCCTTGCCAGTGAGGCATACTAATCTGATACTGATTTTGCTTACTATGGTACTGCCAATACATGTTTGGATGCAATAATAATTGCTTAAATCCAGTAATGACTGATTTCTCTTAATATACTAGCTTTGAATGATCTTGCATATTAAAAATTCATCTCCGAGTTCAAACTTCTTAATATCTAATTAATTAACACAGGTGTATCATTGACGACCAAATTCAACACAATCATTCTAATTGATCCACCTTATCCACAATGCCAGCAGCTACAAGCATGGTATTACAGTGCTCTTTAATATACTTTCATTGTCTCTTTTTTTATATATAAATTTAGCATTATCAGCAATTAACCTTCATTGGGATTATATTTAGGGTCACACGGAACAAAGGAACACTTCATTTACTTTGAGGAGCACATCAAAATCTGGATCTGTCATCTCCGTTTCAGTAGATGAACAAGTCATCTCAATTACAAACGCTGAATCCCAAGAAGATGTTGGTAAAAAACTCATTCATTATTTACTGTTAAAACTTACTACAAATACTTGCACTCATTTTTTTCCCAACACAGGGACAAACATTTTCAATTGAAGTAAAGATATCCTTCTCAAGTGACCAAAAGAGATACTATGTATTAGTATGTTCCAATTGCTGACAGGAAGTCCGTTATCCAATCATCATAAAAATTCATTGTATAAACTGCAACCAACAAAAAATGCTCATCTCGAGGTATTTTATTACTATACCAACAATATCAACTTCTTCTAATTCTTAATAACAAATAATGGTATTCTAAACATACAATGTCACAGGTGTCGATTTGATGTAAATCTCAAAGATAACTCTGGCTCAACAACAGGGATGATCATGATCAAAGGAGGAGAGAAATTATTATCCCTAACTGCAGAACAAATTTACGAAAGAGCTTCCACTAGGGTATAGCTTCCGACTAAATAATATATGTATAATTTTTACATAAATAAACTTGTTAGAATGATTTATACTTTTCGCTCTCCTAGAGCAACTGTCCACCTATAAAAGTTATCCACACAAGCTTTATCAACAAGATATTTTCTATTCGAGCCAAGAAAGCATTTGCCCGTACTTTAAACGCAACTGCTGTAAAATTATATATCCAGTCATGCGTTGAAAAGGAAAATACTCTTTCAGCACTAAACACAACCAATATCCAGGAAGGAAGCAAAAGAAAACAAGAAGTTGAACCAGAACAAGTCAATGAACGGGTTGAATCATCATCACTCAAAATGAAACAGAAATTGGAGCCATCAACTCCAGAAAAATCAATCTGGAGGTAATTATCACTTTTCTGCCCCTAATCCTTTCTTCAACTAGTATTTCTATCACATACTAACCAAACATTTTCTCCCAAAATAATTTTTATAGTTTATCCAAACTTTTTGACTTCTGTACAGAAAAGGTACATGCAATTCCATTTGTTTATATCATACTCTCAAATACAAATATTTGATGTCATGTTTTTACTTTACAGGAAATACAAAGCTTGCTCACTTTTGAATTTCTCGAAACATGAATCAGTTGCCCGACCACTTTGTACAATTTCTGCCATGATACAAAGGCCAGCAAACTTTATTGCCAACAATATTCCATATAATCACCCTTCTCAGGCGACAACTAAACTTTTGACCTTTTTTGGCAGATAATGGCACCAGGCCACTTTTGTTGACTCATTTCAAAATCCAATTTCAATAGCCCTACATGCAACTAGAACATTAACATCTATTTTTTCTCTCACAGAACGCTTTCTGTATAACCTTGCACAAAAGTTATGTAATATATTTAAAACATAACAACGCCTTCTTTATTTTCACGTCACTATCAAACTCGCCCGTGCCTTGCACGGGCCCAACATTTCAAGTGAAACACATATATGAAGATTGCATATTAAGTACATAACAACTCTGACACATATCTATATATATCAAAATTATATATTAGGTGTTGGAGCCAAGTTTTATAACATAGGTACGTACATTTTATTTACATAGGCTTAAGGAAAGCGGTCTGTTATGGTTATGCTTGTTGCAGTGACAAAAAATGGCTCAAATCATATTGCAAAATGTAGGCGACATGGCTTTTCACTGATAAAAAAATTAAATACAGCAGTTAGTTGAAGTGTTGAATGTAGGAAGTAGCAGTTCTGAAAAGGTAAAATGATATAGTTTATGGAGAATTTTATATACCTTGTTATAGTGTATTGGAGGGGGAGTTTTCACCTCTAGAACATGCCTGTGATGGGAAGTGGACTCTTTCTTGTCTTTTTTGTTTGTGACAGGATTGTCGATCTTCCTTTTGCAGCTTCCTATTGTATCCATTGGAGCAGGTGATATCTTTAAAATAACACGGGATGTTATAGAGGATATATCTTCAGTGACCATGTTTAAGTTTGGATGAATAGCTTTAAATAAAATATCTAATGATTCTTTTTCATTAATAAATGGAATAAGAAAAGATTGTGGAATTTCAATTTTACCGAAGTCATTTACAGTTTCTTTGCCATCTCCAATCTTTAGCAAATACTCACAGAAGGTGGGATCTGTTTTGGCACGCATATTTTGTACCAGTTGATATTTTTCAAGTTGATTCCGAATGTTAGAGTTTAATAAACTTTCATTGATGAAGCCTTCTTTTTTGCCATTTTGTATTACCGGTAAAGTTTGTCTAAAGTCACCACCAAAAACAATAACTTTCCCACCAAAGAGCATGTTTGTGTCCATAATATCTTTTAAAAATGAATTCAAAGTTCCAATAAGTTTTTTTTTTTGGCCATTGATCTTCATCCCATATTATCAGTTTTGCATCTCGAATTAAGGAAGCAAGTGAACTTTGTTTACTAATGTTACAAGTACAATTTTCACGTGTGTCAATAGTGTAACATCTCGCAACTAGAAAGAACTAGAAGGAAGTCAAAAATCTGGAAATAGTTATTTTGGAAAGTATAAGGAAATTTGAAAAATTGTAAGTGAGTTAAAGTTGAGTTAAAGTCAGACAGCCATAACTACTTGATTGCAAGCTTACCAACCAATAGCTACAATACCACATTCCACCAGTCATATTGATTTGATTAGCTTACTGTTCGCGAGAAATTTTGTGTACGCAGCTTAGGTGGAAGGCGAAGAAGACCTCCTTCCGGGGGGGGCCCGAGCCAGGTGTAGTTCCAGATATGGTTAGGATGCTCTTGGAATGATCTTTCCAACGCCGCCATAGCTCAGGATGAGTTAGGTGTAGTTCCAGATATGGTTGGAAAGCTCTTGGAATGATCTTTCCAACGCCGCCAAGTTTGCGCGATTCCGAGTTCGGATGAACAAGCTATTCCCTTTAGAAGTTGGAATGTTGGATTAAGGAAATGTCCAATCTGAAAAAATAAGGGGTATTTTAGTCTTTTCACTACCCTATTATTTTAATCCGATTTTAAGAGTTTAATATGGGTCAATTCAGGACTTAGTCAGTTTTAGAACTTGGGATTTCACGCTAGGGCTAAGGAGAAAGAAGAAGGAGAAAAGGGCAAATTCATCAATCAAAGAACTTGGTGTTTCGCCAAGGATTTACTTATAGCAGGTATGTGAGGCTCTCATAACGTTGGGATCGTTCTCCCACGTGCCAAGCATATTTATTTCAGTTTGGATTCGTCCTAAAAGCATTTGAATATTAATGATCTTGATACCTATTCTTGAATTCATATATTGTCTTTGAAAATGACTGAGTTGAAAAGTTTCTGAGTTCGTTATGAGTTAGGTTCTTAGATACATTTGCTGGGTATCTGTATCTAAAAGTGATTTAAGAAAAAGAATCGAGTTTGGGTGGATTGGGGAGGAAAACGAAGAAGAAATTTCGACGGGCGAAATCTGAACATGGGAGCGCACCGCGCAACCTATTCCAAGAATTGAAATTTCAGCTTCGCGTCGCGGAGCTGACACGAGGTGTTCTGCCTCAAAAGATGTTTTCAGAACCAAAATTAAATTATGCCTCCGCATCGCGGACCCACCTTCAAATATTTATTTTTTCGTCTTTTCTCTTGTTTAACTATCTACTATCATTCCTAAACATCATGAGATCTTTCCAGTCA